CCGATCTCAGATCCCGTTTAGTTAGAGTACAATCAAATCTCAAAATCTCAATTGTTTAATCTAAAATAATATTTTAATTTTTTATAAAATTTCATTTATTCAAGTTTTACTTAATCAGATCCATTAAGATTTTCCTAATTTAATTATTTAATAACGATGAAGTTAGTATTCTAAACTGTAGAAAATGAGACTCGATTTAACTAGTTTGATAATAACGAATTAACCAGCTTGATTATTCTCTCTCTCTCTCTCTGTTAGGCGGCGCCACCCCTTGAGTCAAATTCTTCATTGACCAGACTCTATAAAATCACACCCTCTTCCTCCCCTTCCTCCCAGAATACACAAAACCATCATCACCATCGATGCTTAACCCTAACCTTCACTGTACACTTAATTTCTCGAGAATCTTTACAATTCACATGTTTCACTAGCTCTAACGTATTGTGATTCTAGATTATTTCCTGGCGGGCATTCAAGAGAATGGCACCCAAGAAGCTTAATGCCAGCAACAGTAGCTGTTTCAAGAGAACAAGTGGGGATCATGACAAGACAGAGATACATTACAGGGGAGTGAGGAAGAGGCCGTATATTAATTAAAACATTGATTTTTCTAATCTAATTATTTAAATACAGTCAAACTAGTATCCTAAACTATTCGAAGTGAGACTCGAATTAACTAGCGTGATTATTTAAATACGATGGATTAACTAGCTTGAGTATTTAATATTATATATTGATTAAAACATTGATTTTTTTTTTATCTGATTATTTAAATACAACTAAGCTAGGATCTTAAACTATTCGAAGTAAGACTCGAATTAACTAGTTTTATTATTTAAATATGATAAATTAACTGGCTTGATTGTTTAATACTAGAAATATCAATCCCTTTGCAAGTGAGATCAGATCCCGTTTAGTTAGAGTACAATCAAATCTCAAATATTTAATCTAAAATAATATTTTAATTTTTTATAAAAAATTTATTAAATTTCATCTATTCAAGTTTTACTTAATCAAATCAATTAAGATTTTCATAGTTTAATTATTTAATAACGATGAAGTTAGTATTCTAAACAATAAGAAATGAGACTCGATTTAACTAGTTTGATTATTAAAATATGACGGATTAATATTCTATATTAATTAAAACATTGATTTTTCTAATTTAATTATTTAAATATGGTTAAATTAGTATGCTAAACTATTCGAAGTGAGACTCAAATTAACTAGCCTGATTATTTAAATATGATGGACTAACTAGCTTGAGTATTTAATATTGTATATTAATTAAAATATTAATTTTTTTAATCTAATTATTTAAATACGATTAAGCTAGTATCTCAAACTATTCGAAGTGAGGCTCGAATTAACTAGTTTGATTATTTAAATATGATGGATTGACTAGCTTGATTATTTGATTTTTTATACTAATCAAAATGAGACTTGGTAAATTACTAAAGGTGGAGAAATAATCATATTTAATAACTATGATTTTTTTTATTAACCCTATATATATGTTAAAAACATACAAAAATAAGTTATTTATTTTTATGTTAAAAAACCAATCAGAATAATTTAAATCAATCATGATGATTAAGAAGAAAGACTCCCTTAATCATAAAGAAACCCTCTCAACTTGGACTCCTAAATTAGCTAAACTGCCTTACTCGGCAGATGTAAGGTTAGTGCATCACAACAACTAAGTAATTGACCACTCCAGCAAAACTTTTATAAAAAAAAAAAAAAAGATGATAAATATTACTTTTTCTGGGATATATAGGCGTCGGAGGATTGACTTAAATTTATTCTCAAGGAGGAAAAAATTGATAAGATTTAGGGGATGGATTAGTTTTAAAATACCTAATTGTTAGCGGCGGCAGCGGGCAGCAGCACCGACGGATACCGGTGGGGCCCGGCCAGGAATTCCGTGTTGACGGGAGGGATAATGTAAATGTCTTGATTATCGGACGACGCGCGTACTTTCGCCGTCCAATTTCAATGACAAATCAATGTCAAATCTTTTGGAGCAAGCTATCCCATTTGGTCCCTATAATTTACCAACTCCTCACTTCAATCCTTACGTTTTTTTTTTGAGTTTCTCTGTGTATTAATTTGAAGTTTCTAATGTTTTAATGTGTATTGTACATTGCAATATTATAATAATATTCATTAAGCCTTGACGGGTTTGGTGGCTAATATTACATTCAAACAATATCATCGAGTCTTATTTTATGGAACAAGTAAGAGATTGGGAGGAATTTGTATACCCTTTTTCTAACTGGTTGCTACAAATTAAAGTCTTATTTATTTATTGAAAAGTAATTTTTTTAAAAATTATTTTTTAATATTAGATAATATTATAAAAAATAAATTAGAAAATATTTTCAATATTTAACCACGTAATAGAAAAAAAAGTTAAAAATAATTTATTTTTAAAAGTTTTCCAAAGTCTAGCCAAATAAAAAAAGAGGATTAAATATAATAGATAAATAAATCTCAATTAATAAAATGATAAGAGACAACAAATAATAAAAAGAATAAGAATTAAAATTGATATAAAAATTAAATCAAATTTTAAGAAATAAAATAAAAAAAAAAAAAAAATAAAATAAAAATAAAATAAAAATGTTAACAGTTTTTTTAATGATATTTTAGCCACGTCACTTTATTTTTATTCACAAATTTTTTTAATATCATTATTTTTTTAATGATATTTTTTTAATTAAAAAGTATTTTTTATTAATTATTTTTTTAAGAATAAACAAGAATGAAAAGAATAAAAAAGTAGTTTTTAATAAAACGCATTTCATGAAGCAAACGACGACAATCAAGATTATAAAAGAAAAGCAAATGATCTTTCCATGCACGTGACAATCAATCGTGATTCTCGCTCGAAAAGAAATGGATGCCCAATTCCCATTCACAGATAATATCTCATCCTTTTATGAGTGGGATGAGAATGAAATCTTGTGGAAATATAAGAGGCAAAACGGAGTTTACATACCACATCTTTTTTATTGCCACTCCTTTATTAAAGAAACTTTATTTATAAAGTAGTTTTGCAGGCGAAGAGAGGGAGGCGTGGAGGAGACTGAGAGGGGACAGACTTTCGTTACGGCGGACCTACCAAGAAATTTTAGAGGTCGTTGTTGCCGCCGCTGTCGCTTCCGGTGGGGCCAGACACCTGCCTCCAACGGAATATGTGGAGGGGATCTCGCTTAATTCATGCATTATGTATCTTGCATGCTTGCTCCGAGTCTTTTTTAATTCATTGATTAATATGCAGCAGCCATGGATGGAAGGAGCTTGATTCTATCACAAGGATTATTAATTTAATCACAATTGCGATAACCTTTTGATTTTATCATTATTGATTATATTATATAGTCCTGTTTATGATAAAAAGATAACGCTTACAAAAAAGAGATTAATAAAATGGCGTGAACGCAATTTATTGTGGATTTATTATTTACAGTGTAAATAATAATGATATTTTTAAATTACAAAATGCCATATCATGTTCTTTCCATCGTCTTGGATCGAAACCTCTATTTTTTCAAAAAAATAAAATAATGAGGAGTGGCGGGTGGGAAATTGGAAGTCGGGTGAGAGGGGACAAGGTGGAGCCATGACAGCACGTGAAACGGTGACTTACAGCGTAGAGAAGCCGCGAGGTAATGTGACGTGTCGAGATCATAGAGACAGATGTTACGATTGAAATAATTTTTTAAATATTTTTATATAAAAATAATATTTTTAAAAATTTTATAATAACAAAATAATAAATAAACAAAAAAATAATTTTAATTTTTTAAAATATTTGCTGAAGCTTTTGATAAAAAAACGGTGATTGTTTTTTTTAATATTTTATTTATATTAAATAATATTTTTTGTTTTTTAAAATTAATTTTTATATTAGTAGATCTTAACAAATATGAAAAAATTAATTTAAAAAATCTACCATGGCGCCTGCCTACCTGCCGCCACTGTTTTGGACTTTTATCTGAAGTTCGGGGGTGGGACCTACCACCGCACAAGCTCACGTCTTGCCAGCACGCTCGGGTTCTTTCCCTCTAAGCCAAACATCATGCTGGGCCCCAGGGATGGCCTGTCAGTCACGACATAAGTAGTTTTCCTATGACCATGGCTGGTTTCTGGCTCGTCTAATTGCAAAGGTGTAATGACGATGGCCATCTCTGCCCCCTCGAGAATCCCTCCTGTCTCCTTTCCGTCAATCTCAATCTTACCATCTTGAATCTTGACGCTCAAGTTTCATGAAGAACGCAATAATAAACATATCAACATCCATCATATATATATGTATATATATATATATATATGTATATATATACCACTAATAAAATCTAGAGCTATAAAAAAACAGAGCTTGTTTCATTCAAAAGCTAAAATATTTTAAAATTAACTTATAAAATTAATCAAAGGATATCCACCGTACATGAATATTTACTCATTTAAACTTTTAATGACAAATATATAAATTTTCAAAAGAATACAAGATTTGATCTCTAAAAATATAACTTAAATCCTTTCAGGATGAATTATCCAAATTCAAATTCAAATCTTTATCATTTTTTAAAAATCCATTATCCATGATGACTATTTATTATTCAGATTTTTATTGACAAAAACATTTTTCTTTCCATATCCTATAACCTTAATTTCTTAATTATTTAAAAATTCAGATATCGAAAAAAAATTCAAACCTATTCCTAGAAGAGATAAAGAAAAAAAACTCAACACCAAACATTAATGATTCTATATATAAATCACACTTATTTGTAATTTGAAAGGTCATCGGAAGAGTGTTTGAAATTGCAGTATAAAGCATTTTTTAAATAATTATATATATGATGAAAATATATAAAAATATTTATTTTAAATTTTTTTATTTGTTTCCATATTAGCACTTAAAATCATTGAAAAAATTAAGAAATTTTCAATTTAATATTTTTTAAATACAAATATTTTTAAAAAATATATAAAAAGAAAAGCAGAAATTGTGCTGAACACACTCTAAAGAAATAGAATTTGAAGACAAGGGCTGAATTTCGCATGACTTTTATTAATAAATTTGGGTTGATTACAAAATTCAATTGACAGAATAAAATGATACTCGGTGAGAAAACAATTCATAAATCTTCAATATATTTTATAGAATCGTGCATCTTATAAATAAATAGGTTTATAACCCTTGATTTTTGCAGGCAAGCCGCTCCAGTTGACGTGTCATCATCCGGTGCTGTATAGAAGCTAAACCGTTGGATTTGATTAACTCCAGCTCTCCCCGGGACTTCAGTCTCTTGGGTTTATTTTCTGTGCAGCCGGTGTTTGATTAAGATGTATACATTCTATTTACTTAAACAATCTAAATTACTTCTTCTGTAATTTATTTTTTAAAGAAATTATTTATTTAATTCAAGTAATTTTATCAACAACATAACACTAGTTTATTACAAAAAAACTTGATGTGTTTAATTTTATAATAAAATATATATTTTTAAAAATTACAAACGATCAATCATGTTCTGATGATTAAGAAGATATGCTTATTTTAAAATTCTTTAAAATTTATTACATGTAAAATCTATTCTTAATCAACATGCAAGCTAATTCAAAAACATATTATGTTTATGTTTACGTGATATAAGTTGTTTTTTAAATAGTGTTTGATATACTAAATAATATTGATTGGATTGGACAAGACAAAACTACACTGGACAAATAAATGTCTTGTTTTGTGTTTTGTATATAGTGGAGTGGATTGAACAATTTATTTTATATTTATACTTTTATGTTTGGTAAACATAAGGCAAGATAGAACAATATACTGTAATGATAATAATATATTTGTTTTGTTTAATGCTTGGAGTGTAGATTATATATTCTAATAAAAAAATATTCTGTTTTTAATATAATAAATAAATATTTTTTTAAAAAATCATTATTAATATTTATTTAAGTATTACTTTATATTGAACAAAATCTATAATTTTTTTTGTTAATTAACAAGTGTTTTTAATAATCAGCTAACTTGAAAGCACTTGTAACTGCTTAAAATTATCTTATATTTGCATTTTCGAAACAACTCCAAGTGAAAAATTTCAATTCTTTGATTTATTTTTTATTTTTAATATCAAGCCATTACTTATTTATACCTGTAATGAAATATAGCCAATAATGTCTTGTATGTCTCATAAACTTATGAAAAGCACAGATTGTGTTGAAATAATGATAGCTATCAAAAACCTGATTGACATCGAGTTTTCAAGACTATTTAAGAAGAAATAAAAACTTTTCTGTGTAAGAAAGAAAGAAGGGATTGGATATCATCTTGGCAAACAGTTCTTATTCACCCAACTTTCGCTACAAGCGTGCTGGAAATATCCAAACACGCAATTCAATATATGGATCACCATGGTTAGATTCTCAGCCATGAATGAAATGGTATGTGTAAGTTACAATAAAAAAGCCAGGTTCTTAGTGAAAAACATGCAAAGAAAATACCAATCAGCAGTAGTCTTCATCATAAGATGGGTCTCATCTCCCTTAGGCTGATCCAAATTCCGGGAACCACTCCTCATGCTTCTCCATATCTGATTGGGAAATACTGCGCTGAACCTTCCACAAGGCTTCTTCAAAATCATACATTGCAATAGGATCATTTGAAACCTCATCCTTAGGCATGTTCTTAATATCATCTTGTGGCTTGCTTGTTATCTTTCACCTCATGCCATTCAAAGAAGCATCTCTGGAAACATTAGTTAGAGCATCTTCACTGTATCCCTCCGTCCTGCGAGCAACTTCATCAATATCTACATCAGTGGCCACCTGTATAATAACAATGATAATCAACGTGTACTCTCTATGGAATCAAATGGACTAGCATGGTTGAGATTGCTATTTACAGGGAACCTTTGTAACAACAACATCAGATGGCCAAGCAAACCCCCAAACAACTTGAGCAGCATGGTTGAGATTGCTATTTACAGGGAACCTTTGTAACAACAACATCAGATGGCAAAATAAGGGAATGGAAGCAAACCCCCAAACAACTTGAGTTCTACATAAATCAAAGATCTTATTCCTGGAAATAAAACTTCATGTATCTTGAATTAAGGATAGTAGTCACACTGGCAGAATAAGTTTGTCATGCAGCCAAGTACAGATCATATGATCAAGAAATGCTATATGAAGCCATTTCATAACCGAGGAATTATTGAAAATCATCACAATGGCTTCATAGTATCGATGTGGTAGTATGGAATTATGAAGATATATCAAATATGCTCCAGTGAATGTGTACATTTATGTTCTAAATTGCTAAATCCATGTCTAGATATGATATTGTTACACGAGTTATGACCCCAAAGTCAAGAGGTATTCAAATGATTAGCCTACAGAAATTGGTCGGAAGGTCTTGCAATAAATCTACAATGGCTATTCAACTTGCACCTCTGGCGCATTACTCTCTTTCCAAACATCCCACTGTCTGGCTACCTAGGTTAGGTAACAAAAGGCCTCACAAAATTTACAAATGACAGATAATGTTGGCTTGAGATTCTTAGCAAAGGCAAATTAAAAAATAAATAAATTATGAAACCTTTATGTGGATCATTAAAATTGCAGCCCTTTCATTCAACTCTTTGTTATCCACAACAATTGACCGGAGTTGGTACCATAGACAAGTGAATCAGGCAAACTATTCGTAAGATTCTGATTTTACTTATATTCTATTCTTTCATTCCAAGAAAACAACCTAGAAACTAAAAACTGTCACTTGTGAATAATTCAAATTGGAATTATGCAGAACCCTTCTTAGCAATTGTCCACTTTCAGTTTCCGTTTGCTAGCTTACGCTGCTTAGCATGGCAATTTAACCCCAATGCTCAGTTACATAGTTTATTATTACGTGAAGGAATTTCCTTCAAACCATCATATAGATTTTTACTACATGCTCAATTACATGGTTTATTATTAAGTTAAGTAATGTTGTTTAAAAGAATTATATTCACAATAGTCTTTAGTCTTATCAAAAAAGAGGAACAGAACAAAGGTATCATAGATCAATACCGCTAGGCGCTAGGTGACAAGGCGACGTGTGGCCTAACAATAACAACTCAAAGAATGATTTGATTTGATTTGATCCAAGATCTGTAATATATACCATGAATCAAAATGGAGAAAGACCTTAATCCAACAATACTGCTAGATATAATATCAGTTGGTATAGTCAATTTACCTCAATAGTTTTCAAATTGATCCTAATAAGCTCCTTACGACTCTCAAAATTTGAAAATGGAATATAAATATGCTTTTCCAATCTCCTCCTACATTGCATTTATATCACATAAGATAGAGCCAGAGCAATGAGGATGCTTACTTTTCCAACCTCCTCCTGCATTGCATTTATATCACATAAGATTAAGCCAGAGCAACGAGGATGCTGTATTACATAGTGGATAGATTGCCTTTTAGGATGGATCTAAGAATTCCAGAAGGCAAAAAAATCTCAAAAATATTTACCAGAAGACAACGAACCGATCTTAGTGCCTCATCTATGTCCCAAGAAAAGTTTGTAGCTGCCAAAACCATCACTATTTTCCGATGGGCATCTTCACAAGTGGGACTATTGTTTACACCATCTACCTGAACCAAAAGTTCAGATTTGACCCTTCGAGATGATTCATGTTCCCCTGAAGCCCTGAAGATTGAGATCATACAAAACCAGATTCAATCTTATGATAGAAAAAATAAATGATGTCATTTAAAAAAAGCACATTTCTAACTCTAGCTAATTTTCAGACTTTAGCTACATTTCAAACTGAATGAGTCCCATTTTGTTTAAAAAAGCACCACCGCAACAGATGGTTCCTTCAACAACTCATGAATGATCTACACGATGGTTCTTTACGTAGATTTTCCTCATGAAATGTGAATATGCTAATGGACAAATCACACCACCAAATCATCAGAGTCAATTATTGCCAAAACACTACAGTTTGCAAAGATAGAAAAAGTACCATTTCACCTTGTAGAGTTCAACGAGCACATTCTCAATAGATTCCCGAGAATCATAGGGGTAGAGATGACGAAAAGATTTGATCGCCTCATTTGCCTCATCAGCTCAATCCAATTGCTTCATCACCACTGCCATGTCTTTCAAGGAACTATTAACCCGATCCCCAGCATTGATAGCAGCCCATAATAGGGAAAAAACCTTGCTTAGTTGCTTGGATCCTTATTCGTTAACTGTAATTAAAGATTCAAATATCAAAATCACGCACAAACACAGTAACTTAAGCACGAGCATTGCAAGCAGCATAGAAAGCAGGTTAGTACATCTCGATCTTCTTCCCAGGCTCACTCGGTGCCGGGACCACTAATCTGCCACTGCTCTTGCTGTCCATAGTGGTCGTTGGAGAAGATGAAGACAGAGAAAGCGATGGTTCTTCGGAGTGAAGGAGGCTAGAGAGGGAGAAAGTTTTAGCGGAGGAAGCTAGGGATCAATTACTGTTGTCTGAGAGAATCCATTTTTGAAGAGAAACGAGAGTTTCTTTTTCACGGCAACAGATACATAGAGATGAAGAAAAGATAACAAATTTTTCATATTTTTAAAGGGCATTATAGTCATTTCACACACCCAACATAGCCGTAAGGCCCATGACCATTTCCATCTCGAGCCATAGACCACGTGCAGTCTTCTGTCAAATCTGGCATACCCATTCCCTTTAGCGGGCCTATCAGGCCCAATAACTAAACCCGGTCCAGGTTGGGTTAACGTTTTCTTTTCTTTTTATACGAAGCAGCGTTTACCAAACAGGAAACTTCCTCATGTTATCCAACGGCTATTTCTTCTCCCTCACAAGTCAAACACTGCTAACGCACACACCCAAACACCTCTCCTCTCTCCTCCTCCTCCTCCTCCTCATATCCAAAAGAACGATAACGAATGCGTAGTCGTCTGTCGCTGATGATGTAAATCAATCAATCAATCAATCAAAGTCGATCAAAGAAAATGAAGCGGTTCGTCTACATCAACGATGATGAGTCATCGCCTACACATGATCTTTACTGCGACAACCGCATTTCCAATCGGAAATACACTCTCCTCAATTTCCTCCCTAAAAATCTCATGGAGCAGTTCAGGTTCTCTCTCTTCTTTAAATTTCATTTTGTAGTTCCACGTTAGCTACATAGGCCTTTACGTATCTGATCGATACAATTTGATCGTTTTTTTATAATATTGTTTTTCAGAAGAATCAGAAATGAAAATTATGATTGCTAATTTTGTAATTTCACCTAAAATTAGGGTTATCTATGCAATTTTGTGAGGAGATGGTGTTGATTTGATTAGGGTTTGATTTTGCAGTCGGTTTATGAACCAGTACTTCTTGTTGATTGCGTGTCTTCAATTATGGTCGCTTATTACCCCGGTGAATCCGGCGAGCACTTGGGGACCGTTGATTTTTATATTTGCCGTGTCTGCTACGAAAGAGGCTTGGGATGATTATAATAGATATTTGTCTGATAAGAAGGCGAATGAGAAACAAGTTTGGATTGTTAGGAAGGGGATCAAGAAACATGTATGGAAATGCTACTTACTTTTGGATGCTTTGGGCTTTAGGATTGATGTGGTTGTCGATTTTTTGATGTGTTTGTTGTGTGTGATTTGTAGATTCAAGCGCAGGATATATGTGTCGGTAATTTAGTGTGGCTTCGTGAGAATGATGAAGTGCCGTGTGATCTTGTTTTGATTGGTACATCAGATCCTCAAGGGCTTTGTTATATAGAGGTAAATGGTTGTTTATATTGATCAGTGTTGTTAAAATTTTGTAGTGATTGTTGTTTCATTGTTGCATCTGCAGGGAAGTATGGATAACATATGTTAACAAATGTGGGGATATTCACAGCTTTAGAGCTGTGTTGATAATTTATCATCTACATTTTCTAGCTGGGATATGACTTTCTGTATATTAGATTGTATACAATTTTTGGTCTCTTTCAAGATTGAAATAGTTTGACTGTGTAAGGTTAAGGAAGATGAATTAGGCTACAACAACAACAACAACAACAACGTGTTAGACAAATGGTTTCTTAATTTCAATAAAGTATTTTAGAACATTCCTGTGATTAAGCCTTCTAAGCAGCTGTGGGATGGATGTTCTCGAGTCATGAAACCATCTTTCTCCCTTTTTAGGAGCTACAACTTACCAAAGTTCTTTGTTTGTCACTTTTCTTGAATTGATTTCTTGCTTTCCTCTGACATTATTGTTAATGGAGTGATGGGTGGAAGCTCCACTGTTGGAGAGATATCTTTTTCTGCATGAAGCTTCTTTCACACCCATTGTTAGATTTTTTTTTAATGTATATGTATGCCTTAATTCATCTAAAGTGTAAGCTTTCAGTTTTTGTATAAATATCCTTGTACGTTCTAGCTATGCCTGTGGACTGGGATTCAATTTCCTATAGCATATTCTACCCCCCCTTCAAATATCTAGACCTGACCCTTGATTAGAAACTCAAAATTACCCCTTCCCCTGTCCAAATGGTAACTGTAATGTTCAATGTGGTGCAATATTGTAGTATGACTTTTGAGGTGTTCTTTTTCCAAACATTTCAGGATCCTGATTATATAACATACTTTGCAGACAGCTGCTCTAGATGGTGAAACTGATTTGAAGACGAGGGTAACACCCTCTGCTTGCATGGGGATAGATTTTGAATTATTGCACAAAATTAAGGCAAGTATTTTTTTAATTAAGATTTCATGTAAAAGTCATTTGTTTGTATTCCATTGGTCAATCATTCATTGTTTCCTTGTTTATCCTTAGGGTGTTATCGAATGCCCCAATCCAGATAAAGACATCCGACGACTTGATGCAAATTTACGCCTGTTTCCTCCATTTATTGATAATGATGTGTGCCCATTGACCATAAAAAACACAATTCTTCAGTCATGCTACTTGCGTAACACTGAGTGGGCTTGTGGAGTTGCTGTCTACACAGGCAATTTCCTACTTATTGAAATGCAGTGAGCTTAACTATTTTGTGTTATTAGTTTATTATTCTCAACTTGCATAACCTTTTATGCACAGTGCCTTGGTATGGATTAGATTATTGATGCATGTCCAATTGTCTCAATGAATGTATTCAATATCAATTGCAGCAGAGTTAAATTATGCAATTTCTGTATTTGATGCTTCCTTTTCAGGTAATGAAACTAAGCTGGGTATGAGTAGGGGTATACCTGAACCAAAGCTGACAGCTATGGATGCCATGATTGACAAGTTGACTGGAGCTATATTTGTTTTTCAAATAGTGGTTGTTATGGTTCTAGGGATAGCCGGGAATGTCTGGAAGGACACTGAAGCTAGAAAGGTAATGTTGTTGTGCTTGCCAGACTATGATGCTCTATTATTATTTTTTAGATAAAAGAAAATGCTATGTTAATGAAAATGTAAAATAATAGAAAGACAAATGAAGTCAAGTCATTCTCCATGGAAGCACAATAACAAAACAGAAAACTTATAAATTGGGCACTGCTATCCCATAGAATGTCAACCATGGATAACCCTTAGAAGTGACAGGAAGCATGGCGCCATAAAGATACCATATCAAATTTCTAGAAGTATATTGGTTCTAAAAAACTCTTGCATTTCTCTCTTATCAAAAGCACCAAAAATTGCACTGGTTGCACATTGTCATAAAACCTCAAATCCTTCTCTCAAATACCAAATGAGATCAGCATACAATCAGCCATTGTACTTGCAAATACTTCATATTCACCACCATAGCCTAATAATTAATATACGCTGTATACTTATTGAGCTGAACTTGAGGTCTTTGTTCAGTCGTTTGCACCTCTTAAGAATGTTGATTTCGAATAACATTACCTTAATAGAAAAGAACACCGAAACTAGTCATGTTAACCAGGAAACATACTGGTTTCATAATAGTAGCTCAATTTGCCTCTTATTTCCATCCCATAATGTGGAAGTTTTATATTGTAGTGAATTTTTTTTCTATGTTTTTTGTGTATGAAAATGTTTGCCTTCAAACACATACTCAAGTTTTGATTTTGCATCCTTTACAGCAATGGTATGTTTTATATCCAGATGAGGGTCCTTGGTATGAGCTACTAGTGATCCCTCTACGCTTCGAGCTTCTTTGTTCCATCATGATTCCGATATCGATTAAGGTAAGTTTGCATAATGTGGTAATTATTTTAGAGCACCCATATTATTGTTGTTTTGATGGATTGGCATTGATTTCACTCATGCCTCATGAATGTTGGAAGAATCATAGTCCAGTTTGAGCAACTAAGGACACTATGGGCCTGTCCACTCCCCTGTAAAAGGATGGATGAGATCTTAGAGGGAAAAAAACTAAAAAAAATGCAAACTGATTTTTCTGCTCCTTTCAGCTAGAAGCTGAAGATTTCTGTATTATCCCATGTATGAACTCTAGAGAAGCTATAAATTGTTATGGCAGATTTATTTTCATTCATGAAAAAGATTTTGATTATTTGGAGGCCTTTGGTAATTGATCTTGTATAACTGTTGGAAAATTGTGAAGGGAGGGTTTATTTTTGTATTCATGCCATATCAGTTTAAATTTCCAATCACTAATGAGATTTACAATCCTGAAGAAATTACAATGATACTTTCTGCTTAATTTTGTTACAAATTTTGCCCTGTTATGTGTTGACACTGCAAACTATCTCATTTTTCTGGTGCAATGTGATGATGAGTTTATTGATTTTTTATGATCACCATCTAGGCCAGTGTGTAAAATCTGAACTTCTTTCTGCAACAGGTATCTCTGGATCTTGTTAAGAGCTTATATGCAAAGTTCATTGATTGGGATAGGGAGATGATTGACCTAGAAACTGATACTCCATCCCACGCAACAAAGTAAGTTATAGAATGAAAGTAAAACACTTGTTTTGAACTAGATATGGAAATCCAGATATTCGAACACATAATTGAAGTATCATTTGTTTTATGTGGCAGCACAGCAATAAGTGAGGATCTTGGGCAAGTTGAGTACATTTTGACTGACAAAACCGGAACCCTCACTGAAAATAAAATGGTTTTCAGAATATGTTGCATCAGTGGCAATTTTTACGGGAATGAGGCTGGGGATGCTTCGAAAGGTTTCTTTCCCCCCTCCCTCACACTTTCTCTTGATTTTTCAAGCTCGTCTTTTTTCCTCAAATTCAGACTTAATCAAATTAATACATTTTCTTCACTTGTAGTTGCTGCACTTTGAATGCCTTCTGTTGTTTTGAATTTACAGTTTTAAGCTTAGTTTTGGAATCAGGTTAGAAGCTGTTAAGTCAATTTTGTGCCTGCATGTGTGTCGTATATAGATCAGTTACTTCCATAGGCATTTATAGTTGAGTTTCTTCTACAAGTTTGTTTCCTGAATAGCCAAGATTAGTTGTTTAAAAGCATACCTTGCCCACAACCAGTTAATTTTAATTATGCAATCTCCATAGATCCAAGACATGTTGGTTTAATCTCTAGAATCAAACTCTTCACCATATTGCCATTTGTATGA